TTCATGTATAAAAGTAAATTAATTTTCAAAACTAAACAAACAACTCATATTCTATTTGTACTATTTCGTATTTGTATTGATTAATTAAAAGGAACGGAAATGACTATATTTGGTCCATTCGTTTCCACCAAATACCAACTTTTGCTAGAGTCGCCATCTAGTGAGGTGCTTTTTAGTGCTTTCTTTATTTAAATATTTCCTCATTAAAACAATATCTCACGTAATAATCGATAATCAAGTAAAAAGAACATGAAGGAAGCAAATGAACAAAAAAAAAATAACCTGTCTGATATCACCTTTACATATACGCAACGTCTATTCGGTCCGAATACATTTACCAAATCAAAACTCATTTTATGAAAATTATAGATACCAAAGGCATAAAAGTTATTCACGACACAACCTAAGGACACAACATATAACACTCGTGCGCATTAACATTACACCTACGGCAGATTCTATTTCTCCGAAAACGAAATTTCATCAATATTCGAAATGCTAATATGACTACAAAGTAACCCAATTTCCTAAAATGAAATTTTGGTTCGACGACAAATAGAATAGAGTCTTTGGTATCATGTTGATTCGTACGAGTGTTCGACCGTGTGAGAGGACAAAATCCATCTATGTAGCTATATCAATAGTGCACAAAATCGTGCAGATTATTTATTAGAAGCACACTGTGGAAAAAGCTTTTATTCTAAAATCAGTTTTACACGTTCAGAATAAGCTCTAATTTTCTTTGTCAAGAATTTTAGAATATAACTATCTCTTTCTTTGACTATTTTCAGGAAGGAGGATACTGTGATACAAGAAAAGAAAACGAATTTAGATACGTTTACAGTGTTACGCTACAATTTGTGCGACAAAACTCTATTACGAAAAACTGTCGTTCGAATATGCGTGTATCGACACTGAAGGTCGACAACATTTTTGTGCGACATTGATGTTAGTATTAAGTTTTATATAATATCATTGGTATTAAGTTAGTTATTAGGTTGACTTTCTGTTCCAATAACAAATCAGCTCCATTCTATTTTAATGTTGTATTGTAATCCAAATTATATGTATATGCATAAAAATTTTGCCGCAATCAAAAACCAGGAAGCGGGTCTAATTAAGCTTGTACCTTATATATTCTCTAGTTTCCGTGTCCCCTACAAAGCGCAACGACGATAGTGAAGCCATTTGAGATTTGTGTATGTGTGGGCAAAGAGCAAATAGCGTGTATTCATTGCCAAGTTTTCATTTATATGAGCGATAATAGTGTCAAACGTTTATCCCAAAATGTGGGAAATTTATATTGGTTTTGTTTCTTATGTTCTATGTTAACTTATTATTATGATTGATTTCACAATGTCCAAATATCTCTGTTTGGTTATAGAAATGAAATACGAATAGCACTACAGTACCTATTGAAAGAATTTTGGGTGAAAGAATTTTTTTAATTGGTCCTTTAATTTCGGAGCCTATTCAATGCAAACAAACAAACAATCAAATCTTTTCTCTTTATAATATTAGTATACTTACTGTTGAAAACTGATGTCCATATCTTAATGTTTGTATTAGTGTATTTTTTAAAAGATTTAACGGCACATACGGTCATGTTTATAAATTTTAAAATATTGATTCTTGAACAATAATGTGCTTAGCAAACGCTAAATTCTTAATGACATTCAATTCTGCGGGAAACATAAGACAAAGGCTCCAAATTCGTCTGTTATTTACCTACTAGCGTACTAGAATTTAAAATATTGAAACGAGTTGTAGAAAAAAAATATGTGTATGTAAATGTACACGTGAAAGCATCGGAGAGAGTGCAAAGACGATGTTTAAAATATGTTTCGTGCAAATATAATTTTGGTCGCTCACTTAATAGCTATAGGTTGACAAAATTTGGTATGATTCGGTTGGAAGCTCGCCGCAATAGATATGACCTCCTCTGTCTACATAAAATAGTGCATTCGCTTATTGATTCACCTGGGTTACTTTCTTCAGTCTACATTAATACCAGGCATAAGTTGCGTTACCCTAACACATTTTCAATCCGAGTCTACAAAAATAATACCTCTTTTTATAACCCGATTGTAAGAATGAGTCGTATATATAACGAATTGAATCGTAATGATGGAACTGTCGATATTTTCAATAATAAATTCTCAAAATATAAAAAAATAATATCAGACAAATTTCTATAATTATAATATTAACACCAGTTAATATTTAAATTTACTGTATACTAAAAGTTATTTAAGGATCTGTTCATGTTGTAAGTTAATACTGTTCATGCTGTGTACACTGTTTTTAGATTATAGTCTAGTCCAAATACTTTAAATATGTTTGTAGGTTTCTCTTTTGATTATGATCTGTTTGTGTACCATTTATAAATAAATAAAATAAATAGCCCTTTTACAGTTATCATAATGATTTGCGAGTAATTATAGGAATTAAAAACCTATTTTGCCACACAATTTGCTATCTTCTGTTCATATCTATCTCATTGTCGGGTGTAATATTAGTATCAGTATATAAAGCTAATCTTTTTATTCTAGTCCAAAGACTACAAATAAAATTTATTGAATTGGTTGGAATGCATAAACAACTTTCCACTTTAATCAATAATACACAGTGGAAAGCGCCCAATTAAGCAAAGCACCATGTTTTTAATAGAAAAATTATGTAGCATATACCTATATATTCTTTTATATTTAGTTACAAACAAATTAAATATTATTATGCCAGCCAGAGCAAACACAGACGCTCATTTTGGACATTTGCTAATCAAAGACAACGTAAGCACTCATTTTTATTCTTTACTAAGAAAAATAAACTATTGTTATTTTTCAACGTCTTATATAATAGTTTAAATTATTAGCTAATACCATTTGGACTATTAATACGATTTATTTAAAACAACAAAATTATAAAAAGGGGAATTAAATTTTTTATATAATTTAGAAAGACATACGCTAACAAATTACTCCCTGACTAATGAAAAGTAATGTTAATGTTAAATTATTATCTTTCTTGTGAGTATAATTTAAGATTCTTACATTTTTGAGATTCTTACATTTAAGTTTATTAATTATGACAATAAGTTTGTTAAGTCATAATTACCTTTTAGGAATACATAAACATATAGTTGAACGACATTAAAAATGACTTTTTATAATTAGTACCTTTTTGTTTCAATGCATACTTAAATCGATATCATACTTTTTAATACGCAGTCATTAACATTAATCTTCACTTCGTATCAATATTAATAAAATAAAGTAAGAAATAATAATCTCTATTATTTACGAATACAAATGTATGAATATGTGCGATCATGGAAATTACCTATTTTAAATCAATGATATTACAAAAAAAAGGGTTGGTAGGTAATAGACACTGTCACTTTAAGACTATGCTAATTAGCATACCTAAGTGGTGAAAGCGTTGATTGTGTGCGTTTATGTAACAATCATTCAAAAAATGCCATCCGGTGTTATGCAAAACTGTAGAGAAAACAAGTAAGTCGCCTAAAGACCAACGGGTCACATTTCATTCGTAAGTATACATTTTTTATTGATTTGTGTTTTAATAAGAAAAATAAATAATGTGTCACTAAAAGAAATAGTAAAAACTAGTAGTGGGTGATATAAATCGATATTTCAAAAAATATATCGCGATATATCGCTTTAATCCGATGTTATCGAATCAACTTGTATCGAATGTAATATCGATATATTTCATGCGATACACCAAATATCGAGTCACATTCCATTTTTTCTTTATATCTATTTTCTAAGACATTTTCCTTTAAATCTGCAATATTGTTAATTTGAGTAAAAATAATTTAAAGAAAAACAATAAACCCGACTGCGTAAAAACGAATTTTAAAAAATACATAAAAATATTAACTTTAATAAAAAATTTAAATAAATAAACAAGCCCAGTAGTTTAGAATTCTGATAAGTAATACTAAATAGCTACACAATTGAAATAGTTTTATAATGGAATTCGATACACACATAAAACAAATCATAAATTTGTTTTTTTTTATTAAAGCTGCTATTCTTTACGCGCAGATGCTACACATGGCTTTTGGGTCGTATGGCCTTGAATTCTTTTTCGTGTGATTTATTAATAAAGTTTATTTGTTTCTTCTCTTTAAAGTGTTTTTACTCATAATGAACCTGATCCCTATTTAATATAATAGACTAGTTAAATACAAATAATTACTAACAATGTTTTTAAAATATCGATATATTTGTTCGATATATCGCAAAGTAGCGATATAACATTAAGATATATTATAAAAAAAATATCGATATTATTTTTACATGAACATCCCTAGTAAATACTCCGATTACAAATTATGGAAAAGGTTTGTCAAATATTATGACAGTAAGTAACAAAACGGACAATTTGACTTTAGTGCCTAAGCTCTACCTAAAATCTTTCTTAAGTCATTAACTTAAGAAAGTAATTAATTAATTACTACACTTATTAATTACAGTCATCATCATTTTAGAAGTATATCTTTATAAATAAAAGTAATAAGTATAACTGTAATAATAATAGGCTTACATTATGATTTTTCGACTTTATGAATGACACCCCGGTTGGCTACGCTAACCGAATTTTAGAAGCCCATAACAATGGTTTTTAATATCCAATTAACCCATAATAAAAGTGAAGACGTCACAGATAGCTTAAGATATTAAAATATGATGTCCTACGTTGAAATACATATATAGCTGACCACATGAAATACATAGCAATGCTGACGCTTTTTACAAAGCTAGGTAAATCATGTCGGACTGGCGTGTTACTCTAACCGCGATGCTGTATAAAGTTTTAGGTAAAAAGAAAACTAAATGTAGCATAAAGTACATACAAAATAGCGTGTTTATGATGTGCAGCTATATTGAAAAACTAATAAAATTATGTATTTTATTATATAACATTCCCTTTTTGTGTATTTTAATTAAATTCATTTTGTGCACATTCATGGTTCAATCTGGCACTAGTGACGCCACATCATACGTCGCGTTTGCGTCATCACATCGTGGACAGCGCTCAAACGGGGAGGACGTGGGATGAAAGTGTGCAGTGCTTTTTAGAAACATTCTTATATTTTTTTCAAATGTTTCTAATATCGAAATTATAAAGTACAAAGTTATTAGGATAGGTAAATATGGTTTTGTTTAAGTTTTCCGTCTTTTCTCTATTGATTTATATACCTAACTGTGTATTAACTTGTTACTGTCTTTCAGGTTTCCTCTTAGAGGCGCCGCCATCATGGCGTCGGATGAACAATTTTCATTATGTTGGAACAATTTCCACGCGAATATGTCGGCAGGCTTTCATGGCCTGCTGTCGCGTGGGGATTTAGTAGATGTAACGTTGGCTGCCGAAGGCAGATTACTACAAGCACACAAACTAGTTTTATCAGTATGTTCTCCCTATTTTCAAGAAATGTTCAAAATGAACCCAACTCAACATCCCATAGGTATGCAGACTTCTTTTTTTACTTTTGTGAAGTTTTAAATTATTTTAATAGATTGCTAATTTTTTCCTTGTTTGTTTCAGTATTTTTAAAAGATGTTAGTCATTCTGCGTTAAGAGACTTATTACAGTTTATGTACCAAGGTGAAGTTAATGTTAAGCAAGAAGAGTTAGCATCGTTTATTAGTACCGCGGAACAGCTTCAAGTGAAAGGTTTAACCGGTAATCAAAATGAAGAAAGTTCCACGCCATCCAAACCAAAGCCGACGTCGAGGCCAGGCCCGAGGTCGTCACAACAAAGGCAATCTGTTATGACTAAGTTAGAGACTGATTTAGATTCTAAGCCCTCCTCAACTCCAGTAGCAATTAAGCGACCAAATAGGCCATCAATAGCATCAAATAATTCGTCATCTTCACAAAGTGGACCTGCGAAACGAAAATGTGTGGACCCATTAGAAGCTGGACCTTCAGGATCAGCCAAAGAAGAATTCGTAACGATACCGGACGAAGATGAGAATAATGCTGTGGCGCCGAAAATGGAACCAGAGTTTGTAAATGAAAGTATGTGGGATGACGATGAAGAGGGAGCAAATAACGATGAAACTAATTTCGGCGAAGATGATTCTAATATGGAAATGACTGGTATGTACTATTTTAACAGGTATCATTTTGATACTATTAATTATAACATTTTTCTAATAAATTTCTCTACCAAAACAGGTTTTGATGGCTCTACGACAGGCGATGGCAATATTTCTGCGGGTGGGGAAGGAGGGGCTGTAGGTGATGCACAAGGTAGGTTTACAAATTCTTATTGAGAGGCAGTTTTGTAATCAAATTTAAGATTACGGAATTGCCTTTGTCTGTACAACGCATGAGATTGGTTTTGTGGCCTCTTGTTGCTCTTTTTAATTTATCCAACTGATCACATGCGTTTCTAGGTTTATAAATGAAATTTGTAAGTTATAGTAGTATTAGTGTAGTTAAGCTTTATTAGTAAAATTTACTTGCCTGTTCCAGGGTGTCATAAAGGTAATGTTACAACAGATTTCATTCTTTGTAACATTGTCTTAGATTTTGGTATGTTTGTGGTAAAGATGGTAAAAAGGTAATTGGTGGTAAAGATATGGTAAAAAGGTAATCTGTAAAAAAAGGTCAGATGTTTGGTAAAGTTTTTCAAAGGTAATGTTTGTATATGGTAAGGTATTCGAGGTTTTAAAGGTAATGTTTGTATATGGTAAGGTGTTCTAAAGTTAAAAGTTTGATCCTTTTAGTATACTGGTATCGCGAATCTAGAAATTTGTGGTCAGTCTCTGTAGGGAACTTTCAAATTGAGTAGTCTTCTGTGCTAAGCTATGAATTGCTAAGGTAATTTCACTGTTTAACAAGTTTTCCATTGCAATGTGGAATGATTGTTCCACTTTCCACGTGGTAGTAATTTTAAGTAGGTACCGATTGCGATATTCTTATTCGTGAGCGGGAAAGCCGCGCTACTTTTCAGTTTGCTTTTAGCCTGGCTACGATATACGTCTGCCCGGCCATAATTGCTTAACTGTGTATTGTCTGGGTACCTACGAGGTTTTCATGGTAACATTGATGGGGTAATATAATTTAGACTAAAGATAAAGGTAATATAAACTAAGATTTTCGTTACTGGTTCAGTCCCGCTAGTTGCGTTGTGCAGCTCCCCGGTCTGGCCTCTACCTTAATATTGGAATTCTCTACCAGCACGCGTAGCGTGACTTGTTTTGTTTACACTCGAATGTCACTTCTCGAGTGCGCCCGTACTATCTCGACCCGAGAAAGTGGCATTTGAGTGTCATGATACGCGTGCAGGTCAATGTACAGAAACCTGAACTGTTGCCGATATTTTTAATTTAAAATCTATGTAGGTATATTTGATGTAGCAGACTAATGTAGATATTCCAATTGTGAAGATCTCTAATGAGTGATTACTCTCCTAGTAGTTTCCGTTACTTTCATGCTCACCTGTCTAATCTACGGGTCCCAGTAGCTATATCAATCTTCCATAATGAGGCTACTGTGATTAGTACTCTGTATGCAATGCAATCTATTTAAAAGAAGTTCGTAACCGAATAAAAATGAAAGGATGAATGTAAGAAAGATAAAGTATGCAGAATGAAAGGGCAGAGTAAACGATAGAACTGGAACGGAAGGAAGATAACGGGGCCTGTTAACTGTCTGCAGACTGTTGGCTATTGTAAATGCGGGCATTTATCATAATTTCTCATTTTTAAATTTTAAAGTAGGGTAATATTTATACATTCAAATATTTTAGTACTTATCGATAAACTCCATCAATTATCGGTCTTGCTTGATTGTTAAGTGATTAGAACAAAACTCGTTCAATCTGAATTGAGTTTTTTGATTTGTACTAAAATAATTTAGTTATGTAAGTGATGAAAACAAAATTAATTCAATCTGAAACGTATGTCCATATGGATTGAGGAGCCGGGAGCCATTCCAGTCTAAAAAAATATTAAGTATTCCCCGTTCTTACTACCAAACTAATCTGTAGATTGGGAAAAAATCCCACTGCACCTTTCATCGGAGGACTGGGAATAACTCCCAGAAAATAATTGAGGTAAGGTAATATACCTGCTTAGATAAAATATTTTTAACTAAATTTATTTGAGAAAATAACCTCTATGTTTACATCATCATATTTATAGTCACCTATAAGCAATTTCTTAAGTTTGTTACTTCCATTCAAAACTGCACTATTTCTTGAGAATACCACTTGTTTTAATAATAGATGTAATATTTTTATATTTCTTTTATTAATGGTTTATCTGGGCATTTCGCACAATATGGCAATATCACGTGAATAAATTTATTTCTACATGTAAAATGAAAATTAATGAAAGATGGCCATAATCTCCCCGACATATCATTACTAACATGGCATGCGAGGCAGTGTGGCTTAAATATCGTCTATGAAGAGTCAATAAATAATAACTGCAAAAATGCAACTTTTCAGGAGACGAAAGAAACGTTTCAAATCTATTATATTGGTTTTTTCAGTACATTGCAATTATTGTTTATCTTACAAAAACATAAGAAACTAACCCAAAATCTTTGTCACTATTGTGTAGTAATCTATTTTACAACGAATAATATATAAAATAATACAATAAAACAAAAAATGACAAAATATCATTATTTATTGACTCTTCATGGCCGATATGCTTGTTCCGGATAAATACCACCGCTAGATGCCGCTAAGATGGTGAATCGGTGGAGGTTTGAAATATGTAAACTGTTATCATGGCAGATTGACGTTTTGTGTTATTATTTTTATTTAATTAATAAAGTGGATTTTATTTCTTTGCGATTTTTATTTCGTCACAACACAGCTATTACAAATACCCTGCAGTTATAAAAGCATACATCTAGTTTGACATTGTCACTTTGCGTGGGTAAGTTAACACCTTTGTTCTCAAAATATTACATTAGCAAAATATTATATCCTCAAAATGTGAGAAGTATAATCAGACACAGTGAATATCAAAAATGAATTCATTTAAACCAAAATCTCTTTTTTCAATTAAGCATCATGGAAACACTAACAGCTAAAATATCTTTGGCAATAGTGTGTATCCACTGCTGGTTATTAATATCATCTCCGTATATAATATCAATTGTCTGAAATAATTCTCATAGTTTTTGAGTGGCTAACATCGAAAACATATTCTATCATCCATTTTTAAAAATAAAAGCAAGTCTTGCATAACACTGTGTGGCAATCTCATATTATCTGTAGTCTTTGATGTACCGACATTAAAAAAAATATTCCCCTGTATAGCGTATCCTTTTTTGAAACAATGTCTTTACAGACGTTGTTAATTTAGTTATTTTCTGTTGCGCGATTAATATTCAAACATCTGATATGGAACTCTAAGAGCTCAGCATCATTCAAAGGAATGACGTATTAGCGAAAATTATTCAGTCTGATGAGTATTTACTGATAACGCCATCACCTGATAAGTTTGTACATATTTCACTTTGCTGCTCAAGGTAGATTGTGTACACTTTATCCCAATAATGAGGAATTTTATTTTTTGTGCCTGTGGCTCCATACAATTAATGGAGGGCCTATTTCATATATAAATACTTGTGTGATGAATATTTGTAGGTATTTGTTCAGTGTATAGGTGTGATATACTCACATATATCCATATTTTAAACGGTTTTTTCTAGCATACCCTATTTATTTGTTTATTTATATTTGGGTCAAATACAATATATTTAGTGTGTTTACTAGATATTATGAAAATATAATTTAATTAAGATTTTTTTTCAATTGTAATTCTAAAGTTGTTTCTAAATCTGTAACACATTAGAGGTAGTGTCATTTGTACTGGCAATATTGAGTATAATATTATGATTGTGTTGGTATTATCAAAATATTAACAAAGTCTGTCTTGTAACATAGCTTTGTAAAATAATTCATTGAGAAGAGTACAAATTTCAACTATTTTACTCACAATAAATATTTGTGACGTTTTACAAGATTTTTCCTATTTCTTTGTTTCATCAATCTGTTGTCAAGTGACCATTAAAAATTAATAAAAGCAGAAACCTTTTTAAGTGAAGTTTAAGATGGTTTAAGTATGGTTTGAGTTGTGCTTAACTTTAAATTCTCTATGAGGAAGTATTTTAAGAAAAAAAGAAAGCACTAAAAAGTACCTCACTAGATGGTGACTCTAGCAAAAGTTTATTTTTGCAGGAAACGAATGTAGCAAATACAGTCATGCTCATTCTTTTTAACTTAGGTACTTATTGAAAAAACTAAAATTGCAAAGTTGAAACTTAGATATCAATACAAATACAAAAAAGTACATATAGAATATGAGTTGTTTATTCAGTTTTGAAAATTAATTCACTTTTATACATGAAAGAAAACTGGAAGGGTTGTTATGGAGAAATCAAGAAAAATATCGTAGCAACATCTAGTTTAATTTCGAGAACTATTTTTTTTTAATACTTTCTTATTCAGAAACCGGGTGTCAGAGACTTATCTTTGTGGTGATAATAATATGGACATATTAATATTGAATACAAAATTATATCCCTTCAAATCAAACTCTTCATTGTATCATATCTTTTTACAATCTCTCTCTTGGATGCAACACCCAGGTGAATTGATTCTAAGCTGGACCTAGATGGCGCTACTAGTCATCAATCTATATTGTTTACTTATTATTTAATTTTTTATGTGTAAAAGTTCATGTTTAAAATACATTTTTTGTTTGAAACTTATTTATAAACCGAAAAGTAGTACGAATTCCTTACTAACAGACATATGAAATGATATTTATTATGATATTTAAAAACAATAATTTATTAATAAATATAAGTACTTAATTGAAAAAGTTAAAATGAAAGATGGGTGAAAGCAAATATGAATTAATTCGATAGTTAATTTTTAAACATAATTCTTTTTAAGTATTATGTTTAAAAACATTAAACATAATACTTAAAAAGTATATGACTGCAAATATACTTTTAATATGGCATAATTTATATATCAAATAAGTACATATCAACACCATCTATTGCGAGGCAGTCAAACTGATCTGATTACGATATATTTGAATAAGGTATATAGGACATGACTATTCTTAGTATCAAAATGATTATTTTTATCTAAAAACTATACAGTGGGTACCTAACATTACAAAAGCAATCATCTCACAAGTAGATAAAATATTTTAATATTAACAGAACTTCAGCGCCACCTGTAGTGCATAAAATAGAAATACGGAGAAAAT